TTTATAAATATTATTATTGTTATTAATAAAAGCTGTGTACGTTTTGACCAAGATACCTAGTGTACATGTCTTATTGAGTTACGTTTGATGGGGGGGTTATTTCCACCTGCCCAAATAGCGATGATGAGCCTGTCATGCGACTCAGGGTGTTGTAATGGTTATTATTGTGACAGTAGATGTCAAATTTAAGACACAAATAGCCAAATTAGAAAAGTTCTGCAAGTCAGCTATACTTTGTGTTAATTTTACGACCAGAAGATCAAATGGCAACTTAAAGGCTCAGTAGGTCTTTCATTCACGTATTCAGTTTGTCTCTACTTCTGAAATAACAGTGAAAAAGCAACAAAGTTGAATCCGAAAAACACTATTTACAAAAAAAAACTAAATTGTTTGAATGTGTCATCATTGGTCAATAAAGGATGTGAAGGTAAAACCATTCGGGAACAGGGTGCCGACTCTGTAGATCCAGTAGCACTTTAAGGAGGTGATTCAAGTCTCCCCCTTTTTGTCCTAGAATGATCCTTTTCAATACCCGAGAACTTGATATAATTACTGTGGTACACTCTTATGTGACGTGCCATGGGGATGTCCTTCTGTGAAGTCACACAGTGGATGTGCTCCACTCTGCTCGTTTTGAAAGGGCAAAACTTTTACCTACAAAGCATATCCCAAACATGCAGGTGAGTAGTTAAATTAGCCCTGCTATATTGCAGTTAAAAAACTGCGTGCTCTGGAGTACAACTGTACTGTTAGATTTAAGGATCGTTTTGGAATCCCTGGAGATGAACTTAAAGGCAACACAGTGAGAAGTGGCACCAAGATGTTATTGAGGTTCTTCCCCCTTCTGGCAGTTAGAGAGGTGCTAAGAGGTGCTAAGAGAGAAGGTGTCTAACAGATGTGGATCTTGAGTAAGGAGTGGCCATAATCTCTCCAGGACTCTGTTCACTTTTTTCCAGCCCTGATCATAGCTGGCTATGCATCAAAAGAACTTAGGAGCACGTTCAGCCAGTGAGTCCTCAAAAGAAGACCCACCAGGTTCTGAGCCGCCCACCGACCAGCTCAACACCAACCAAACATAATACCAACAGTATAAACTATCTGCCTGACCAGATGCCTTAAAACTATCCCATCCTTTTACAACTAAAACCTTTTACCCCCTAATATTACTCTTACTAACCTCGCCGCTGTGATAAAACAGGGAATTACTGATGCCAAACCCCAGGGAAGAGGGTCAAACTCAGTCAGATAAGTGAAATTTATAGTGACATGTATAAAATTGCAGCGCCTATTTATACTAGCCCAGCCCCTGCCAATTTACTACCTATCACAACCTAACTCCACCTAGCCCCGCCTCCTAGCCCTGTCATGGGCCCTATCCACTAAGCTGTGCTTGTTACATGGGGGTACAATAGTGTTTGGTAAATATATATTATAATGTAATTTATAAAACATGTCTATATATGTTTAAACTTAACTTTCCACTGGGGGATACAATGTATTTATATTTTAAGTCTTTAGGGCATTTTCCTCCTATCTTTACTAAGTATAGAAAGGCAGAGATAACTATAGATAGTGTGATTGTTCCCTGTGACATCATCCTTGCTGAGCACAGTTCAGTCAGTAGACACTGCAAGGCAGAGATAGCTATAGATAGTGTGATTGTTCCCTGTGACATCACTGTGACATCATCCTTGCTGAGCACAGTTCAGTCAGTAGATATTGCAAGGCAGAGATAGCTATAGATAGTCTGATTGTTCCCTGTGACATCACTGTGACATCATCCTTGCTGAGCACAGTTCAGTCAGTAGACACTGCTTAGACAGTAGACACTGCTTAGCTGCTGTGGTGATAACGTAGCTAAAGATGGGAGATAGTAGAACTATTTTCTCGTGTTTTTCATGTGTACGCTGTGATGTAAGTGAAAGACTTGATTTTCTGTATAAGGTTCCAGTTCTACATATTATTATCTGAGAGTTTTATCATGTTAAATCCCCAGTGTAGTCTAGGATGGGGAGAAAGAGAATACAGATGGGACCCTTTATATGATTATTAATGGGGAACACTGGGGGGTTACACACAGATCTATCATTTTATTCTTTCCTCAATATTTAACCCTTTCATGGCTCAGTATTTAATGTCTCAAACACAGTGACAGCCTATGGTTACTGTATCAGTTTTCGTGGTATGAACTCCTTGCCCTTTATTCATTTCAGTTACTGGTATGTCATGTGGAAGTATTATAGTGGATTGTAATTAAGATGCTCCTGATTCATTCATTACACACATATATATCAGCATATAATAAATATATATCAGGACTGAGAGACAGCACTGAGACAGTAATCCTAGCAGCAAAGTAACAGGAACTCAGCACCAGATCAGTAGAAGTGGGGTCTACCACACCTGACAGGACCCGAGAGTCCTCCCAGACAATCCAGCATATAGTAACCGGGTACAAGATGTTAGCAGGGACAGCACACACTGACAGACACAACCAAGTTACTGAGATTGTGTATTGAAATGCCTGCACTGAATATGGGTTGGACAAGGTAGATGTGAATGACAAAACTAAGGTCCTGTGGGATTTTCATATCAAAACAGACAAGCAAGTACTGGCAGACCAACCTTTCATCGTGGTGATTGACAAGGAACGGTAGATTGCAATGGTGATGAATGTGGCAATACCCAATGACCATAACGCTAAGAAACATGAAAAGGAGGACAAATACTGGCCTTAGCATGGCTTTTCTCCTACTCCCTATTCTGAGCTGTCTGGTGGATCGGAGGTCCAGAGTCACAAGGTCGAGGAGATTGGACAGTGCACGCTGCAATTTTATTCCCATTTGTCCGGCCAGACTCTGCTCTGTGAATAACATACATTGTTATTGGGTGCAGTCATCAACATTCCCTCGTTACTCTGTATTACAGTCCAATCACCACGATGAGCCAGAGCTAAGTTTACTGTAATAATTGGAATAAATAAGAAAAGCCTCAATAGAGGATCTTCTTCTGGCAAAGACCTGATGGATTACTGATCTTTTTATTTCTGCCTTTTCAGGTCAGCGGAACGCAAGTTATCGATGTTATCGAGCAAGGAGCAGGGGAACATCCAGGTACATTAAAACATTGTGTGTGTGTGTTATGTATATATGTAAATGTGTAACCATATATCACATCCATATCACATAGCCCATTAAAGTTACCAGGTTACCATATTTTTATTAAACAACCACTCCACACTTGAAAAAACAGGAAAAAGTAAGATACAGAGGGAAAGCAGCTATGATTCATATGTTATTTCTTACATTATTTGTAAATACTGTTTAACACTTTAGTGATCGCGGACAAACCGGGTACGTCAGCCAAAAAACTGTTGTTAACCACCTCTGGCGTTCCATGTACGTCCGCAGCCAAAATGAGCGCTGGAAGCAATGGCATCCAGCCGCTCTAAGTGTATTCCACAATGCCTCGATATTGAGGCATCGTGGAATACCCCCCTACTGTGCCGGGCACCTAAGTGATTGTTCTCCCCGGAGTGATCACTTCCAGGTTTCCACAAGTGGCGCCCGGCAGTGGGGAGCAGAGCATCGGAAGCCTTCAGGCAGGCTTACAATCCTCTGCCTTTGCTGAGTGCCTCGAGGGGTTGAGGCACTCAGTAATAGTAAAAAATAAATAATAATTATAAAAAACTAAATTACAAAATTAACCCTCTTCCCTCCCTCCCTCTCCCTCCCCATGTACTTACCAATCACCACCGTATCCCCGCCAGTGATCGGTCGTCTTCTAAGGCTAGGCCCAGACAGTCCCCCCTCTGCACTGTAGTACCCCCAGGGGCCATGTGATTGCTCTAAAACAGTGGTCACATGGCTGCAATAGGTATCCACAGTGTTGCCAACAGGGGGACTGCCTGAACTGACAGGCCGTCCCCCTGCTGGTGAAAAAGTAAAAATCTTATATATAACGTCATACTAAGTGTATTTTTTTTAATAATATATACATATATTAATATAAAAATACTCAGAGTAAAATTACACACGTATGTATATAACATATATAATAACTTTATATTTTGTATATATATATATATATATATATATTATAAAATTAAATAATAATTAAAAATTAATAAAAAAACAATAAAAACTTTAATATTTAAAAAACATTATATATATATAATGTTATTCTAACTGTAGTTTGATATTAATATATATATATATTTATATCAAAATACTCTTGTGGATTATATATATATATATATATATATAAATTTTCATTCTATGTATATCTCCTTAACGACCATGGACGTACTGAGTACATTCGACAAAAAATGGTCATTAAGGACCGCAGATGTACCTAGTATGTTTGCGGCAAATAGGAGCACTGGACTTACCTGGATGGGTGATCCGTGGCGATCACAGTTGGGAGGGACTGTTGGGATCTCCCTGCAGCTGCTCCGGCCACCCCGGCCCTCCAGGGCATGGGATCACCATGATCAATATGTCTCAGTAGGACTCTTGGAGCTGCCAGCAGGGGGACTGTCTGAGCTCTCAGGCAGTCCCCCAGGGTGCTAAAAAGTAAAATAATATATATATATATATGTTGTGACAAAAGAAACTTCACCACTAACTTTTGGAGGGGCCTGTTTGCCAGCCTCCTACCCTGTGACTATGGCCTCTGTGTTCAACCTTATTGGAAAACACCAATTGTGCCTCTTGGACTTATAACAAGCTATGTTCAATTGGGACTATATGGTTCATTGCACCGAACAGCCGCACCAACAGAGACCACCCTGGAGCTTGTTGAGCTTAATTGATACTGTGGCAAAACTAACCTCGCCACTGGGCACTGGAGAAGCCTGGATGCTCGCCTGCTGCCTCTAGACTATGGTCCCCGGTGTGTATGACCCTTTAAGAACCGTCTGGGGACATATTCAGACTTTTTGGGACAATGCCCCTTTAAGATGGTGTCCTCAGTGTCCCCAGACTTGTTTGGGACAATGCCCCTTTAAGACGGTGTCCTTAGTGTCCCCAGACTGTTACAATCCTGTGTGCATGGCTTTTTCCCACTTGGTTCAGTAAATCTAGCTTACTGAACCAAGTATTGTATTGGCGGACCAACCAGAAGTGGAAGCGTGCGGCTAATTTACCTCCCAGGCTGGGAGGCTGCTGTAGGTAAATTGCCGACCGATGGGTGTCAGCGGTGTGTGCAGCCAAATCTATGAAACTGTTTTCGGCTACCCAACTGCACGAACACCGCTAACCCGTACCTTCTCCTCCACTTTGACACTGCGGCTGGAGACTAAGTCCTGTTTGGCGAGTTGAACACACGTACAGCCCAAATCTATGGAACTCTTTTGGGCATGAAAATGTGCTTGTGGTCGGTCACAAAGGACTTCCAGCTAACCTTTTAACCCCTGGAAGGAATGGCCTGAATTTTGGATATGTTTATATTTAAAGTGTGCTGATTAATAATATATGACTTTGTGGAGATTGAATGTATAGTTTTAAAGTTACAGTACATGTATAAAAAGTATATTTTTCCTGCCTGTGATAATTACATTAACCCATTGTGTACAGTAATTATATTACAGGCAGAGGGGTGGATTTTGTGGGAATGAATGGGAGTGTTTTACTGTATATTACATGTTTGATTGGATGTTTCACAAAACCCTGTGGGTGGTACTTTATGTGTAAAATGTGTATATAAGGCCAATAAAGCCACAGCTCTGTCTGTTCCTGTTTGACCCTCAACATAGAGCCACGTCTCATGATTGGGGGATACGGCTGTATCTACACTGGGAGATACACTACATACTCCCCTAGATATAATCACTAAGCTCTTTTAAGAGCTTGTTCCAGCTTTGCTCTGTGCAGGAAGAGGGGTTCGGTCTGCAGTGCTTATGGTGTCTGGAGAAGTGCTTGGAGCCCTCGTAATGCACTAGGAGCATCCATCAACGGAGGTACTCGGTCGGAGTACTAGGAGCTCTGTTACATATACATTGTTGCAATTTCCACCGCAGTGGACTAAGTGTTTGTCTGGTTGGCCGCAATTCCTATGGACCACCACGAGGTGGCGGCCATCTTGTTGCATGGACCAAAACCGCGAATAGACTTCAGAGGGACTTAGCCGCGAATGTCCTGGAACTATTTTTAACATGAAAACCTCACGGTTTCCGATTGGTCCACCAGCGGCACCTAGCCGCGATTCTATGGAGCTATTTTTGTCTATGAGGCCATGCTGGGTGATTTTGGATATTTTGGTCACTGAGATCGGGGCTACCAGGGGATGTAACATTTGTGGAGTTTTATGTATTTTTAGGGTACTTTTGGGGTGTTTTAAAAAAAAGTGTGGTCTTTCTGTGCTTGGAGATAATTGGATTAGAATTAGTACAGTTACTGATCCAATTATCTCCCAAAGAGGGAGGAGGGATTGTATATTTGTTATGGAAGTGTCGGGCATTTAATCACTGTTCTTATTGGTCTGTGTCTTTGTGTTGGAGTCCCCATCAAGGTCCATGTGGGCGTACCCCTTGCATGGGGATTGTCATAAAAGGCCAAGTGTGGCTCCCATTAAATTGAGATTTGTTTACCCTTCATGAAGTCGTGGCTCATGTTTGGGGTATTGGAGAGCTACATTCACTCTGGGGATTGCTATATCACAATACTCCCCTGAGTATAATCATTAGCTCTTATAAGAGCTGTTCCTGCTTTGCTCTCTGGACTAGGAGAGGTCTACCCACTGGAAGCTGGATCCTGGTCTTGGGTCCAGGGTGGATGGAGGACGGCGGCACCCCAACCAAGCTGCGGCGGTTCGTTGGGTTTGCGGTGGTTATGGTGTTCCAGTGCAGTGCTTATGGTGCTCGCAAGAACTAAGAAGCAGCGATTGACGGAGGTACCCAGCCGGGATGCCAGGCAGTTCGTCACAATGTTATACATATATTATATATGTATAAATAATTGTATTAATGTATAAATAATTTAAACATTTTATAATATATTACACATATATAATGCATAAATATGATTTCATTAAAAGTGTACTTTGATATATATATACACACACACACACACACACATGTGTTATATATTTATATAATATAAATTGCAAAAAAAAACATTTATGAAAAACAAAGTGACTTGGGAAAGCCCGAGATAATGGGGCGAAACGCGTCAAAGTGCTAACGGCTCTTGGGGCATACAAAGAGTGATTGGAGGGGTACCATACTGAATACCCGGCATCTCTCCAACACCAGTGAATTACACGGCGGAGAGACATCAATTCAGCCGAGGAAACTATTTTGATGGACGGTATCACCCTGCTGCTGCATATTACTTGTGAGCACCCTTTTTTATTTTGAAGAGTTTTTTTCTCACATAGCGCTAACACGTTTGTTATTTTGTTACATTGTATATGTGAAATTAGGAAATTTCCAATGTGTTTTTAGCTGCTCGTGTTTATTTATTTGTTTATCTTCTAATTTGTTACCAGTAATCTGGTTATTTATTGATTTTTTTTGCGCTCTCTTATTTCTATATATTAATACCTTTAGGTTTTCTTATTTTTAAAAATATATACATGTGATTGGCTATTCAGGGATTCCTACCAGATATCAGTGTTACAATGTAACTTGCGTTAATTTTGAAAAAAAAAAATGGTTTGGAAATAGCAAAGTGCTACTTATACTTATTGCCCTATAACTTTCCAAAAAAAGCTAAGAACATATTAACCCCTTAAGGACACAACTTCTGGAATAAAAGGGAATCATGATGGAATATTTCCGTCATGTGTCCTTAAGGGGTTAATATTGGGTATTTTTAAACTCAGGACAAAATGTAGAAACTATTTAGCATGGGTGCTTTTTATGGGTTGTAGATGCATAACATTTTGGGGGTCAAAGTTCGAAGAGGTTATTTATTTATCTATTTTTATATAAGATTTTATAATTTTTTTATAGTAAATTATATGATATGATGAAAATAATGGTGTCTTTAGAAAGACCATTTAATTGCGAGAAAAACTGTATATAATATGTGTGGGTACAGTAAATGGGTAAGAGGAAAATTACAGCTAAACACAAACACAGCAGAAATGTTAAAAGAGCGGTAAGAAGATTGAAAAGTGGTCTGGTCACTAAGGGGTTAAATAAAAGCCTTATGAGATGATTTATTACATAATGGGTGTCTAACCTGTCCCTGTAAAAATAGTTTGTGTATGAAACAGTGCCTGATACATAAAGAAATATACAGAGAAACCTTATAGAAATTAACTGTTTAGTACTCTGACACATGAAACTGTCGATTCCTTTTTACCATTGACATAATAAAATGTATTCATTTGTCTCCTAGCAACACCTGCTATCAGCACATTGGAGAAACGCATTGAGGAGCTGGGCCACCGATTAGTGATCGAGCGTGCCGTGGCTGAAGGAGCCAAACGTGCCATCAAGGCATTAGATCATGGAATGCCACTTGTTCAGGTCAGTTATAAAGCGTATCCGTTTAACCATTTCATCCCCAGAATGAAGAATGGGCTTTCAATGTCTGTCTGGGGCTTTGTTGGCATTAGCCAAGTAGCCATGGTTTATTATTAATATTATTATTATTTATAAAGCGCCAACAAATTCCTCTTGATTAATAATATACAAGTTACACATTTATATTATCTTTTCTGAGACTTTTGTTGTTTGAAGTCTTTGTGGGACCATTTGTTCTGTATTTTATTTTGTCTCTATAATGCTTTATTTAAAATTCTTCCAATTGTTTAATTCCTATTCATTTTATTAAAAGCTAAAACATGTTGTATGTTCTGTATTGATCTGTCGTTATATCCACATCAATCTATGAAAATCCCTGCTAGCCGGTCTTTGGTTTTCCATTCAGGAATCAAGAAATGTACATGTTTTTTCAATAAGTTCTGAATTATAGAGAATTAAAATCTGAATTACAAGACTGAGACAAACATAAACATGCTCTGACTAAAGCCGAGATGGGATTTTTCACTATTCACTAATTTTTGTTTAAATATCTGCAGTCCAGACTTTAGTGATTAATCCTGTAGAGTTTTTATACATTGAACTTGATGTAGAATGATAACCATTTATAAATGCAATGCAAGGATGATCCACATTATTAGGAACTGTGTGTCTAACCTTGGATATCAGCTCGTGTTGGACAGCAACTTCCAGACATATTTGCCAGCAGATAAAGTCTAATCTTCTGTTGATCCTTCACCTTTTTTCCATTTATTTTTTTTAACAGGCTCAGTCAATACTACAGGAGTCAAATGAAAAGCTTGACCTCCTTAAATATTCCTTGGAAGAACGAGTGAAAGAACTTCCTGATGGCCATCCCAGGAAGAGTATTGCCACCGAGGAAATGTTCTTTGACTCAGTCGAAACCAAGCCCATAGCACTAACGGGTAAGTTCTTTTGTCTCTGAAAGGAAACAAGACAAACATATTTAAAGGACCACTATTTTGCCAGGAAACCAAACTCGTTTTCCTGGCTCTATGGGGTCTTTAGGTCCCCCCCCCCCACCCTCAGGGTCCCACTCCGGCCAGGCTCTAGGGGTTGAAGGGGTTAATCACTTACCATTCTCCAGCGCCATGCTCCCTCGGCGCTGGGGACTCTCCTCGCTCTTCCGACGTCATCTGCTGAATGCGCATGCGCATTCAATCAGTCCATAGGAAAGCATTTCCTATGGACGTCAGCATCTACTCACTGTGATTTTCACAGTGAGAATCACGGAAGCTCCTCTAGCGTCTGTCAATGAGACAGCCACTACAGGCCGGATTAACCCTAGTATAAACATAGCAGTTTCTCTGACGAGCTGCAGGGTTAACCCTAGATGGACCTGGCACTGATTGAGCTGAAGTGGTCTAGGTGCCAATAGTGGTCCTTTAACACTGAAGTATCAGAGCATGTTTCCATCTCTGTGAGGTCTGATTGGAGGGATCTCGCAGTTAGTCTACCGATATTCCAGCAGGATTTATTTTGCATGGCGTGAATGCAAGCTTAAAGGTGACCGGTGACATTTCACATGATAACAATATGAAACCAGCCTGAGAAACTCTCATCATATTTAAATATTTAATATATAAAGATTAGTATAAATTCACTCTCATGTCACAGCTTTCTTTTGAACAGACAGTCAGGGTATTTCTTTCAAATGAACTGAGCTAGCTTTGGGTGTATCTTGTTATTGAGTGAATTAATAGGATAAAACACAAGGTAAGCATTACACTTAGAGAATAATTTACTAATGGGACATTAGATAAATGACTTTCCTTACTGTCTAAGTCACCGGGTATAATAATCTGAATATGTGTAATTTACATGTTACTGAGGATTTGCCCATTCTCGGTATTCTCATGAATTCTGTTTTACTTTATTGGCATTATCTTAGTATGTCCCTAAATGTAAAGGTTAATCGTGGACTCCTTGTTCACTTTGCATAGAGGGGTTTTAGCTTGTATAACGTGGGCTTGTTGCATTCTGGTTCTGAATTACTCTTGTGTGTTTACAAATATCTGATAATACAAATAGTATACGTTTCCTATCTAATGACACAAGTGAGAAAAAACTTGTTTGAGGATCGAGCAGGGACTAAGTGAAGCTACTGAGTTTTTAGCTGTGTGTCAATTCTGTTTTGATTGATTTATATCCGATAAAGATGTAAAAGCTGCCGTATTATTAAATATTCTGTGTGTGCTACTTAGACCAACCATGAAGTTCCCTGTAACATAAATGGTATATTTCATGGTTGCTAAAGGTCTATTTCTTTCTATAAATATGCCGGTTTACAGAGATGATAGAGGGGTGGTGGAATCCATAAGGGAATCTGATGTTTGATTATTGTAGGAAATATATTGAGTGAACATTTGGTGAGAGGAGAGTGAATATATTCCTGTGATGACACAAGTAAAAATTTAATAGTCATTTTTACAATATTAATTCTGATTGTTTGACAGGTACCCTGAAAGTGCGAGTAAAGGGCTGTCACAATATTCTAGAGAATGTACCTGGGAGTGTAAAAGACCCGTCAGTTGTTCTCCCAGGAAAGAGGACACGTCGAGGAAGATTCTCATTAATGAGCCGGATCAGACGAAACAACCGTGTCGGCAGTCAGAACATCCAAGAGACTGTTGGCTTTTCCAGTACAGTGATTTTTATCTTATATTTCCCATTATGTGTCCAGTGATGCTCAATAACAGAATTCAATATCTGGGGTATCGAACCTTTACCCTCCAACAATGCTAAACTTTCCCACTATTTACTGACAGAATTGGGAATCAGAGTCCAATAACATCTAACAGGTCACGGTTGGACAAAATACAAAACAAAGGAAATTGTGCTAGAAAAAACAATACTATAAAATAATAATATAGGAGGTAGCAAACCTAGAGTAGGGTTACCTCTCAGCCCTACTAGCAAGAATAAAACAGAAGGTAAAAAGAGGTTGCGCCAAAGAAATAAACTAAATACTAAAACTATATATCTAAAAAGAGTCCAATATCAATTTCAAATTCAAACCACAAAAAACGCCCCAAAAGAAGTCCTAACACAAATCTTGCCGGAGAGATAATCAACAGTCTTCGGGAGTAATGTACTCTGTAGGAGCCGTATGGGAACAACTTGTGGGATCCGTATGTGAAAACAAATAAAGTGCAAGAAGTCCAATAAAAATCGGATTATAGAGGCAACAGGGTCTAATTCTAATGTAGTCCTACTCACGTTTAATAGAGCTATAAACTAGCTCTAGTATGAATGGCATACAGCGGTACAATCCCCACTTGTAGGATATGTGATGAGATGTTAATATCGCAGTAGTTTGTAGATCATAAAAGGGTAAAAAAAGGGGAGACAACTAATAGTGCACTAAAATTATGATATCCTTCCGGCATGATTTGTATTAGGACTTTCTGGGGGGTATTTTTTTGT